CGGCTTGTTTTACAACGTGTTGCCAAGCGACGAAAACCCAACCCCGATGGCAAACACCGGGGGGGCGGCTTGTTTTACAACGTCGTTGCCAAGCGACGAAAACCCAATCCCGATGGCAAACACCGGGGGGGCGGCTTGTTTTACAACGTCGTTGCCAAGCGACGAAAACCCAACCCCGATGGCAAACCCCCGGGGGGGGGCGGCTTGTTTTACAACGTCGTTACCAAGCGACGAAAACCCAACCCCGATGGTAAACACAGGGGGGGAAGGCGTGGAGGGGGGATCAAATCATGTAAACGCATGCCGCAGTCGTTAGACCATAGACCATAGACCTCGCATCCCTCCAATTCCGGGACGGATCTCGTCCTACAAGTATGAACCAAAAGTAAGATCATCGTCCTCGCGTTGGCTGTACCAAACCAGAGATGCCATGGCAAACCAAACGTTTCACATTCGTTAGGCACGACAGTACTTCAAGTTCCGCAACGAACTTCGATCTTTGCGCGCCCGTAGACTACAGGCGCACCACGCACGGCGAACACGTCGCTTCGTGTGTGATACGTATGGATCACCTGTTCCTATATTTCAGGTGGAAAAGTTCCAGATGGAGCTGTTCAGAAGAGTAAGAATTTTGCTCTAAATAGGGCGTTCCAACCATCTAGTGTTCAGCGGACATCCCATGGGGTGCAAGATCTGGGACCGAAGCCCACAAGGTAGCAGGATATACCGCACAAACAACCCCCATGCCCAACACAGCAGTTGTATAGCTCCATGCCCCAAGAGCCAACCCTCGTTCGACCAATCCACCTGCGAACCTCATGTGCGGGGGATTATCGATCTCGGCTTAGCAGGAAGTACGTCGTGGAGAGGGGGGGGTACAAGGGTGGAGTCAGCCGACGACCCCTCGCCCAAAAACAATCAATTATCTAGTCTGGGGGGGGATCCCGTGCGGCCTAACGGCAATATCATCGATGCCACAGTCAAAACCGTCCGACTGCGTTACTTGTGCGCCGTGCCTCAGCCTTCTACTGCCACACTGCCACTACCACAACATTCATCAGCAACAACAACGCGCGGTTACTCAAGCGTGTAGGGAAAGAAACAAGTACCTTGCGGACGTCTCTTCTTCTGCGTTGGTCGCCCGCTTCTTGCCCCGGAGGTCGACTGACCGCCGCAAGGGTCTCGGTGGCCCTACGATCTCGGCGCCACTGTTGCCGCCGCCGCTAGTGCTGTGGGCACGAGGGGAGGTCCTCGCCCGCTCTAAGCTGGACTGAACGGGCTGCGGGGGCCTACACGAATCAGCGGAACGAGGAGACGGGGTCGGACGTATGGACTAGGAATACACACGAGGCGAGGCGGGGCATCAGAAACACAAGACCTCCTGCATGGCCTTGCTCGCGTGTGAACCCTGGCTCATTCGTCAAACAAAGGTACCCCGAAAGGCGTGTAGTAGACTGGCGCAAAAATAGAGGAGATTAACACACACACCGGCCCTGGCGCTCATACTCTGCAAGGCGGCGAGGCGCGCCCGGACGTCGGCCTTGTTAACCGACGTAAATACCGTAGGTTGCATAAGGTATCACAACCCCTGGGCCCATTTTCAAAGCTTGGAAGGAAATGCAGCAGCGACAGTGCCGGCATGAGGTCATTGGAATCATCTTGTCGAAATCTTTCCGAAAAACGTTTTTATGTTGGTATCCTCGTCATCGTAGAGAAATCGAGCTTGTAAAATCGGGCCAAGGGGTGTGGTATCTTACGTCATCTTACGTAACCCATGGTAGCGGAAGACAAAATATAGGAGGTGTGCTGGTGGTTATGTATTAGGCCGCATAGTGCCAAAAAATTTGACCGGACACAAACCGGGCACCCGGCACCTACTCAGAGTACAACATGAGACATCTTGCAGCATTCCATCTGTGTCACGCGATTCCATCAGGGTCACCGGCCTCTTACAGGGACCACCCCGTAGCACGCAATGCTTGTAGAATACTGAAGGGCTGCCCCTGTTGTAACGAAAAGTGTCTCGCTTTTCGCTGGAATATAGAGTAGCAGCGGCTACACGGTTGAAGAGAGATTGTTTACGAGCAAGTGCGCATTGAACAGAGAAAAGATGGCTGGTTTCCGGCGGATAAAACAAGCACACAATACTCCTGGTAGGTACGGTCTAAGAGGAAGCCGGATTGTGTTGTGCCGACCCAGTCTTGCCCAAACGGTAGCAACTACTGCTGCCAGCCTTACCTGGCTCTTGTCCTGGTGGGCGGGGACATGATCGAGAACGCCTTGCTCTTGTACATGCGGACCAGCTTGCTCGGACCGTCCGGCTCCACGACGACTTCCACCCTGCCAACAATAAGCAGAGCGACAACAAGAGCGAAGCATTGTTCGAGCTTGTTTGGGTTATTCGAGTTTGTGTGTGTTTGAATCCTTCCTCGAAATGCACGGGGTCGGTCGCTGTTGTCGAGGTCGATGCGTTAACGAAGTTGCATCCTCTTTGATCCGTGCTCAACGGTTAACCGCACGGGCGACATCGTCGACCACGCTACGGTACCCCACCCAAGTCAACCCCGCCCACAAAGCCACACACTTCTCTTCTCTACTGCTCTCGAGTGCACCCACCCGAAACCACAAAGACAACGGTGAGCCCGCCCCACGGGGAGTACCAGCACCCAAAAACAAACGCAGCCGCACCTCCCCCTAGACGTCACCAGCGAAGTTCTCTCCCCGAGCTTTCGGATGTTCAGGGTCTTGGCCTGACGTTTCCCCTCAGGGGAGCTGAGGGGCTCCGCGGCCAGGACCAGGCTGAGGTTGAGCACCCCCTGCACTCTCTCCTCCACGGGACAGGGGTGGTCCCAACCGAAGAGGCATGACCGCCCGGGGGGGAGGGCGTCCCCTGGCCCGGGGACGGACGCCTGTGATAGAAACGAGGCGAGGAACGGAGTCGATGGGGTGTGAAGATCGTGCGCCGCTCGGCAAACGATCAATGAAAACAAAATGGGCTTGCGTACTGAGCCAGGTGCAAAAAACATCAAAAACCAAATTCAACATTGAGCCCTCGTTGGCCGAAGCCAAAAACACATTGGCAAAGCTAATTATATTGACTCCCTCAAAGTGAAAAAAAATACTCGGAGGACATCATATCTTCAAAGTACAACATTCAATAAAAAACGTCGTCTTCTCGGCCAACAGAGCCGATATTTCGACTTTTGGTTTCCGATCGTTTTCAAGTATCGCACACTGCAGAAAAACACTGCTGTCTCGAAATGTATGCGCGCGCACCTGGCCGTAGAAAATCCTGGAGTTGGTGTGGTTCTCGAGGCGGTACGTGGGGAACCTGTCCCCTGTCCCCCACGCCTCTTCCTGGAAGATGACCTGAACGGCGGAAGATCGGAAGCCCTGACCGCCACTGCTTGATTCGTCCTTGCCATCGACTGGTCGCTCTGAACCGTCACCTCCACCGTCGGAATGTCTACCGCCGCGCGCGGGAAACCCCCCCCGAACAAATCGGTTGTGGCATCAAACGGGCGGGACAGGTCAGGGTGCATGGCTGTTGCTCGCGCAACCCTCGGCCAGAAAGATCCGGCGCAAAGGCAAACACGCGATGCAGCAGCAGTAGTCACCGTGTTCTGAGATAAGCGTACGCTGGATACACGCGGCGCTACAAGCGCACGCTACGGCCAAGCAAGTCGTTTCCTTGGGCGGTACAGCAGTACCATGAGATAAGACGCACACTCGGGGAAGCATGGTGTTGGGGTTGCTTTGCTGATATCAAAACCAAAACCGCTTCTCATCTGTACCCAGGGTCTCCTCCTTAAGGCGAGGAATTAGAACTCCCGGTGGCCGCGAGTTAGCCTTGTACGAAGGAAATACCAGAGAAAAAAAAAACCCGACAGAAACCCCGAGAATTTTCGCACAGAAAAACGAGATGGTGCAAGATTACGAGGCCTGAATGCAACAACCGCCAGACACGAGCGCGGGCTCCGCAATAGAGAGGGAAGGGAGGGGGCGCAAAGCCTCGCACAAAAAAAAACACGACGAGAATGTTCAGGGCCAGAACAAGGATTTGTCAAGGTCCCACGGCCACAACGGGGGCTGTCGAATCAACGAAGGTTCACGCCAGTTTCATCGTCTTGTCGGCAGGAGAGATCAAGAGCAGTCAGCACGCACAATACCACGCCCGATGGAAATATTTGATCGGGGTTCACAATGAGCCCACAACATAAGCACTGTGCCCAATTCAAGTACTAGGGCGAACACGATATCACCACTCCCACACCAGGCGACATTATCTTCGAAAATATACACACACAACCGTAGACACTACCTGCGTTCGAGATAAAACTCTGTTGAAGGCAGAATGTCATTGTCACCGGGAGGGCGGGGTTTTCTGCCCGTGCAGGCCGTAGTCGTTAGACCATTGACCTCACCACCGGGGGGGGGGGGGGGGGGGGGGGGGG